ACGGTCCTTTACAAACTGTAAAGACCATTGCATGCTGGCATGCGATGGTGCGGTCGTGAAGGTTCGAGATGGGATATTGGCAGGGCATATTCCCTCGCGCCTGGTGCATAGGCAACATCCACCACACCTAGTTGTTCTTATCCAGCGTTGGCAGCCTCTGGTAGCAGTTCTACCGCTATTGGCCACAAATGGCCTTGCTGATGCCAAATTTGACACATATGCATGGCATGCCTCCCATCCTTTTCCCCCCATCTCCCGAACAAGAATCGGTACCGTATCTATATAAGCCGAAGAACACTCAAATTCATAATGCATTTCACATAACACATGGGCACTATATTTTTCCGGGCCACTATTAAAACCTGACGGCAAAATAGCAGAGGGGTTATCAAGTTGGGACCCCTCTTGATCAGCACCCCATTTGTATTGAGGTTCGTTGTTTTATTCGGACCTGGGCAGCAGCCTGGACAATTCGACACTCACAACAAATCTAGGTGGCATTTTTAACGCGACATTGTGCCTTGCAAATTTTGTTTCGCGTCACGCGTCGTGGGCTGTACAACGTGGCACAAGAACAGGGCCCAAAATTGGTTTTAGGCCACTCTTAGGAATCAAGGTGCAAAAAAAAAACTACCCTGTCAGCCAGGGTAAAAAAAAAATCCAAGCCTGCTTGGCAAGGGTAGAAAAAAACAACTCGGACACTATCAGGGTAGATAGAGTCACACCCTGTTGGCATCAACAACATGGGCGAAGCAAGCAAACCTATTACACTAGATTAGATGTCACGGATCAGTACAACGGTCTAAATAGCAGCTGCCTGGGGGGCATTAAAAGCTATCCTATATGCTACGACATGAGCTAAGCTACCATCAACCAACTCTAATGCCAATCCAACTCTACTGCCTACACTACTCTACTCTAGACATCTCCAACAGCAGTGGGCTCTACCAGTGGAATTGGCTCACTGGTGGCATCAACAAGCTCAACAGGGGTGGGATAAGCCGAGCTCAAATCCTGGAGAGGGCGTCGTGGCTTCGCCCCGCGAAAGACAGCGACCACATTGAACCAGTCCATGGGGTACTGAAGAAGAGAGCAGCGCATAAGATCCCCTAGACAGTCATCACCAATGCTCCCATGACCCCAGGTCTTAATCAATTTTTGCTTGGAAAATCCCCGCTCACACTCCACTGTGCTGAGCGGGAGCACGGCAACGGCTTGCCAGAGTCGAAGAATGTTGGGGTATCTCCTCTGCCAGTCGTTGTTGTCAAGCGTGAGGTTGAGGGCTTGCTGGAAGTCATCGTCCTTGTGCTGGGACATTGTTGTCGCGGTGAAAACCCAGAGCTCAGAGCTCAGAGCCCAAAGCTGAGCCGCGTTGTAGTCAAAGCATGCTCATGCAAAGCAATCAAATGGGGGGAGGGATGGAGTCTTGTAAGTGCAAGGTAGGACTCCTTGTTATTGCAATGGTTGGAATCACGCTGGTTATTCACAAGGCAAGCAGGAAACATATGATGGCGCAAGTCTCACCAGGGAGCTTGTTGCCGAATAGGTCACCCATTTGCTTCACGTGCTACTTGCAACAAGCCAGCCGAACCTCATCATCTAGGGGGTTGGTCTTGGTCAAGAAGAGGCGGGATCCATCCACGTTTGCTAGGTCCCTGAAGCGACCGCGAATGTTGCCGACGCAATCTTTAGCAACTTCCAGCACACGACACCACAAGAATCGAGGTCGCTCCATGTCGTGTGGCCATCGAGCATTGTCTCATGCAGCACAAATTCAAAGGCCTGCACGTTGCCTTCTGAATCCATGCCTTCGACGCGCACCGTTCGCTTGTCCGGGGAGCCATGCTTCTCCAGGAAATCACACAGCCTCTCGCTGCCGCCATTGCCGAAGAAGAGGCCGCTGCCGCACTTGATGTGGCAGTCCGGGATGCGGTTGCAGGTGTTCTCAATGAGTGATGCAACCAGTGTGAGGTCGACCTGCAACATATAGGGAAAGGGAGGGTAACAGGTGAATGCGTTTGAAATCATTATATACAACCAAGACTAAAACGACAAGCAATACTCCGTCAAATCCCGTGCACAAGTGTTAGCGGAATGCCCACCTGATGCTGGGGGAAGCACATGTTCAAGTGGTTCAACTCCGCGAGAATTTCGGCGAGGAAGAACATCATAAACTGCACCTTGAAGGACGTGACCACCTTATACCAACCCCCCGGATGCTCGCGGAGCAGGACGACAGCAGCGGGAAGAATCTCCACGAAGCAAGAGACTGCTTCCCCATGCGCCAAACAGCGAATGGCATTGATTCCCTGGGCTTCCAAATTTGTGAGGCAGTACACGAGCTGGAAGTTCTTGAAGGAGTGGTGAACGACGTTGCTGTGATTGACGAGGTCCGCGAAGGCCCGAATGAGCACGTCGATGATGTTCATCCCAGTGAAGCTTTTGGCGGTGTCCTTGGCCGCTAAGGCCTCCCTGAACAGTTAGGGCAGGAGTGACAGACAGAGGAGAGAAAGGCAAATCATAAGTGCGAGTAGGTAATACAAATAAGGCAGACCTATTAGCAGGCATGTCTCCCGACTGACTTGTGAGCGATGCAGTGGAAGGATACCAAATGCTCGATCCGCCGCCTGAGTCTCGTCACCACTCCCGACTGTGCTCCTGTCATCACCGATGCCCCGTCCCTTGACATGCCGATGATGCGCTGAAGGTCGATGCCAACCGACTGTAGAAATTGGAGAAGGACTACTGTCAATGAGGCCGCATCCTTCCGCTCGACAGTCAGCAGAGTAATGAATTCGGTGACGACGGCCCAATCAGAGAAGAAGGTAGCATAGAGAATAAGATGCTTCCCATGAACTTGATCCGTACTCTCGTCAATTGCAATGCCAAGAAATGGGGAGGACTTGATGTGCCTCAGCTGTTCCTCGCGCAGGTACTCAGAGATGGCCTTCATCATCTGCTTGAAATCGTAACTATTGGACGGGCGTGGGAGAGGCACATCGAGATAGAGTAAGGCCATGGTGTGATGTAATAAGAGGGAACACCTATACAACAGACGCACTTACACATAGGACATCAAGTGGACGTGCGGAGCAACAACACACATTTCCTGCATGGCGGGCAATAGATATTGTACTCACTCTGTGTAGTAGGGCCCATACGCCCCACCTTGGGGCAAATCTGGCAAACCTTCTGCAGCCAGGAAGAAATAGAGGGCGACGTAGAGGGCGATCGGGGCGTCGGCCTTGCAGACGAACATGGCGATATGGAGGCAGCGGATTAGGTGCTTTGTCGACGCGGCAGCATCCCTAAATCGTTCTAGCGTCTTCTGCTGGGACTTCTCCAACTCTCTGTCTGCCTGAGCCTTTAACACCTTCTTGTGCACTCGGGTCCCAAGATGGATGCGCATACTGCGGACCTGGAGGTCTCGGGTGCCTTCACCCTTCTTCCCATAGTTCGTATTGGAGAACATGCCCCTGTACTGCAAGCAAATCGCACACTTCAAGGAGGGACGACCGTTTTTCAAACGAGTAAGACGCAGCCAGGGAAAACGGCAGGACCAATCATCTACAAACCACCTGTTCATAACCTCATATTCGGCGTCAGCAGGAGGCACGGGATCGGGCGATGGGGCCGGCTGAACACGTGGAGACGACGAAGCTGCTGGCCTCTTTGGCGGCGGCGCCCAGGGAAGACGCCGCTGGGTCCACATGCCGCTGGCCTTCCGCTTGGCGGCGTACGATGGAGTGCGACCCACTGTAGACGAGGTGCCCTCTACATGCTCTAAATCGAGGTCGATGTGCTCGGCATGCGAGTCGGAGCAAGGGGAGATCAGCTCGAAAGGATACTGGACATGCAGAGCAGTAGAGCGATGGGCACGGGAAGGACTAGACAACGGGGATCGAGCCACTCAGGAGGCAGGAGGGGGGATACCCCGAGAACGCAAAGGTCGTTTCTAGGAGGGGGTTTCTCTAAGAGATCATCGACGATGCCCTCCATACGAAGATGAAGGACTGGATGGAAGTTACCGCATGAGAGCGCCGTGCAGCCACCACACATTGTTATGCAGTGGAATATTCCCCAGCGCATGTGCGACGAGGGCGGGAAAGAGGTCACAAAAGTGTGAGTGGCGTGGGACGTGGCTGTACTCATCTGCTGGAAATCTCGCACGAATCCTGCCCCTGGGGGACTCTGTATCTATTATAATCACAATAGGCTCAGATGTGCCTAAAATGAGAGACATTGTGCACAGTCAGAATTCCGTCAGACAGCTTCAAATGATGATGCCGATCTGATGTCTGCCTCAAAAAGAGATCTGTAAATTGGATCTGGAGCGCGCTGCTGTCGCCTATCTCCAGCAAGCTGAATCATAAAATTACATGAAGATTTGACGACGCTATGGCGGTTTGACTGGCAGGAGGTACAATAGCCACTATAGTCTTAGGAGTACAAACTTAGCAAGAAGAGTTCGAGAGGGAGATGGTTCCCAGCCTCTACATACCCCAAGAGCCGAGGTCCAGGTTGGTGGTACACCACCTCAGAGTCCCCGACCATGAAGAGTCTCGAAACCAACCCTCCAAGGGGCTACACCAAGTGAAATGTAACACTACACGAAGTAACATTACTATTTTCACTATTTAATATTTATCCGCGTCCCTTGGGCTTGAAATCTTGAGCTCTTGTTCTTGGATCTGCAAGATAAATTCTTCTTGAGTTGATGGGGGCTTGCTGCACACACCTGCGACACGATGGACACTTCACACTCGACAAAATAGAAAAAACACATGCGACACACAAACGACGACTTGACATGCGAGTTGTAAAAACTCGCTAATGTCTTGACCGACACAAACCACATTGTGATACACCATTCAAACACACACACAAGCACTAGATGGCAATGACATAGACTCACAATTCATTCCATGCCATGCATGCACACACGCACACAAACAAGGACAACAAGCCGAGTGCAAGCCATAGGGTTGCACCAACAAACCCCCTCGGATTGTTGGCCTTAGAATCTGCTCCCCTTAGTTCAGAGACATCCCAGCAAGCTTGCAACACTTCCAATGCTGCTGCTCAACCAGCCTCTTGGTCATCATATCAGCTGGCTGCGCCGTCGTCTTCACGTAGTGCAACTCCACTTCACCCGCGGTTACCATGCTCCTCACCCAATGCCACTTCACCTTCATGTGCTTGGTAAGGCCATGAAGAACCGGGTTCTTAGCCAATGCAATAGCACCCTGGCTATCACAGTAGAGTGGGGTAGGTCCTTGCTGCTCCTCCCCCAATTCAGCTAGCAAACGCCGCTGCCACACAACCTCTCTAATGGCACGGAAGATTGCCATGTACTCGGACTCCACCGAGCTCAATGCTTGGTCCACTTGTTTCTTGCTCTCCCAAGCTGTTGGCCCTCCACCAACACAGCAGATGAAGCCTCCCACACTTGTCATGTCTTCTGGTTCTGATGCCCAAGATGCATCAGAGAAGGCGGTGAGAAAGAGCCTCTCGGGCTCGACTCCATCCGCACCCTTTTGACGCCTTTGTGCCGCCGCGGAGTATTGCAGTCCAACAGTTGCTGTTTGGCCAAGGTACTTGGCCACCCTCTCTCCATCTGCTACATGCTCTTCATTAGGGCATTGGACAACCCTAGCCAGCTGCCCGGTAGCAAAGGCTGCATCCGGCCTTGTGTGAACGGCCGCATACATGAGGCTGCCTACCAAGGAATTAAAACGGCGCCTCTCCTCTTCACCAACACTTTCCTCCGCTGGTCCTTTCACACACTTGAACCCCGAGGGTAGAGGAGTAGCCACATGGCCTTCAATCTTCTTAAAGTTTGCAGCCAACACCTCCAAGTACTTCTTTTGATGCACTCGCATCCACCGCTTCTCCACACCTCGCTCAATGTGGAGCCCAAGGTAGTAGTTGACGTCACCAAGGGTCTTGCACTTGAACTTGTCTTGAAGCTTCAGCATCAAATCTTTCACAAGGTCAGAGGAGGGTGAGAATATGAGGATGTCATCCACATAAACCACCATGAAGCTCCTCTGCTCCCCCTCGCCAAGCATGAACAATGATTGATCGGCCGTTGAGGGAGTGAAGCCAATCGCCTCCAAGACTTCCCGCAGCTTGATGTACCATTGCCTAGGGGCTTGCTTGAGGCCATAGAGTGCTTTCTTCAGCTTCCACACTCTGCCACTCCCATCATTGTACCCCTCTGGCTGCTCCATGTAGGTCTCTTCCTCCAAAACGCCGTTGAGGAAGGCCGTTTCAAAATCCATTTGCTTCACTATCCATCCTTTGATGGCCGCCGCAGCGAAGAGGGTTCGAAGGGTTGTACCCTTCACCATAGGGGCATACACTTCATTGTAGTCCTTTTTCTCCTGCTGCTGATACCCCTTGGCTACAAGTCTGCTCTTGTAGCGCTTGATGTTGCCGTCGACGTCGGTCTTGCGCTTGAAGAGCCACTTGGAAGAGATTGCCTTCCGCCCCGGAGGTAGATTCACCAAGTCAAATGTGTCGTTCTCTATGATGCTCCCCATTTCTTCATCTGAGGCCTTCTTCCACTCCTTCCCATTGGGGCCCTCCCAAGCCTCCTTGGGATTTGTAGGCTCCCCCGGTATCTCCACCGGAGAGAAGAAGGCAAAAGCGCACTCCTCGCTTTCATCTTCCGCATCATCGCCTAGCATGAGAGCCGAACCGGTCAAGGTTGAGGCTGCTGGTCCTCCAAGCCAGTCATAGCTCAACCTTTTGGGGGGCTGATTCCTCCTTCTCCCCCTTCCTTCCTCCTCTGCTGCAGGGAATTGAATGCTCTCATGGCGTTGCGGTAAATCTGGTCAGTTCCCATGAGCACTTGTAGCACGAGGCGGAAGTGGCGGTGCACGCTCATCACCTTGCTGCACCTCCTCCTCCTCCTCATCCCCATTCATTTGGGAAGATTGCCTCGTGATTAAGCTGCTGCTACTCAGCTCCAAGGGCAGCTCCACATGCTCCAAGCCGGTACTCTTCACCTCTCCAAGCCGCACACCAATCTTCGCTTGGTTCTCCGCCTTCCACTCCTTGTACGGTAAGTTCTCCATGAACTTGCAATCTCTGCTCACCAGGAACTTCTTGGTAAATGGGTCCCAAAGAAGCCATCCCTTGCTGTTTTGAGCCATGCCCAGGTGCACGGCCCATGTTGCCTTGGCATCAAGCTTGTTGTGCCGAAGTTTCTTAGGCACAAGTGCCATGCACATGCACCCGAACACCCGAAGCATATCCACCTTCGGCTTCCTTCCAATCCACTCCACATAGGCACCCATTTGTCTTCTCCCACATGAGTCAAGGCTCTGTTCTTGGCCACACAAGCATGCCGCACCGCATCCGGCCAAAAGTAATTGAGTAGACCGGCTTCAATGAGAAGTCCCCGAGCCGTCTCCGTGAGTGTCCGATTCGCACGCTCGGCGATGCCGTTCATTGCAGGAGAGTAGGGCATGGTAAGAGAGTGCCTTATGCCCTGCTTCTTCAGCCAAGTTGAGAAGTCCTTGCTCAGGAACTCTCCCCCACGGTCAGTGCGAATCGCCTTCACAAGCCGATCTTGTTGCCGCTCCACCATCGGCAACCAATCGGTCTTTACCGTTTCAGCTACGTCACTCTTCTTGGGCAGCACATACACCCAGGTCATGCGAGTGTAGACATCCACAATGGTGAGGACGTACTCTGCTCCAGCAGCTCCAAGCTTCAAGGGGCCCATCACATCCATCACCACCTCATCAAGTGGTGCCTTCGCCGTTGTCTCCGAGCTATGGAACGGGTAGCGGGTGAACTTGGCTTGCATGCATGTTGGACAGCCAAGCACCTCATTGGGCTCCCCCTTGACACGTATCCCACTGACCATCTCTTGCTTAACTATTTGCTGCAAAATGGGCAATGCCACATGCCCCATTCGCCGATGCAAGGTCAGCCAATCACACTCTCCCGTAGCGGAAGTCGGGTTTGAGAAAGCGGCACTCGCAATTGTGCCCCACAAGCTCTCTCCTTTCTCCTTTGCCACTGCTGCTTTGCTTATCTTTTGCTTCTCCTCATCATTTCCACCACCTTTGGCTGCTGCACCACTCTCCTTGGTTTCACACGCCTTGCTGGTCCCTCCAAGATTGCACTCCTTCGAGTCACTCTTGGTGTCACTTTGTTTTCCGTGATCACCGCCACCAACCGCTTCACTGTTGGTGCTGACGCTTGCTGCCACTTGCCTCTCCTTAGGCATGGGAACCACTGGGATTTGCCACATCTCATTGTAGATGTCCCTGTCCTCATGAAGGTCCCAAAGCTTCCGCTCACCAAGCCTCGCGGTATAGGTTTTGGATCCCTTGGAAGATGTGTCCATGCCGGCCTTTTGCAAACGCCGCACGAAAATCAGGTTGGCTGCAAGGTTGGGCACCCAAAGCACGTTCTTGAGGCCCACCATCTTCCCATCAGCACCCTTGAACATGGTCTTGCCCATGCCTTTCACCTCTGCTCGCTGCCCCAAAGCCGATGTAACATGCTTGACCGGCGACGGTTCGAGTTCGGTGAGCAAGTCCGCACGAGGTGTCATGCTATAGGTGGCGCCGCTATCGATCACCCTACAGTCCAGAGAGTGAAGGGTGACCTTTCCCACAGTAGCTGGCTCCTCAAAACCTTCCACACCTCCTGCTGCAGGTGCCGCTTGCGTGGAGACAAAGAAGAATTGGCCCGTGTATCGATCTTCACTCGAGTCCTTGTCGTAGTCTCCACCTTTCATGCTTGCCGCTTCGCCTCCACGGCCATCACGGCCTCCACGACCTCTGCCTCTTCCTCCCCTTGCTTCTCTGCCCTCTTGGCCTTGAGAAGGGGTCCATCCATCAGGCAATCTGAAGCAATCTCTCCACATGTGGCCGGTCTTGTGACAAAAGTGGCATTCGCCATCAAATCGACCGCGCCCACGCCCGTAGCCATTGTTGTTGTTGTTGCTGCCATATCCTCCATTACCACGGCCTCCATTGAAGTTACTGCTGCCAAATCTTCCTCCTCGCCCTCTGCCCTTCCACGGCCGTGCCCATGGCCCATGCTTGCAACTCCGGCACCATCGGGACCCGCCAATTCGCGACGGGGCAGACGGGGCAGATCTCGATTAAGGTTGATGATGAGCAAGGACAATGAGTCCGGAAGTAAGGCCAGTAGCTTGGTCTTCTTTTGAAGGTCACTGTAGTTCAGATCAGCTCCTTCGAGCCGTGTCAACAAGTCGAAGAATTTCTGCACTCCTTCCTCCACCGGTTCGCCTTCGTCAATTCGAAGTGCCGCCATTTGCCGCTCCAAAACCACAGCCACCGCCGCTGTTGCAGGAGCGTGTACACCCTTGAGAGCAGCCCATGCCTTTGGTCCCTTTGCTGGTTCACGCTGAAAAGGCTTGATGTGACGGATTTGGCTGCTCCCCAACGCTTGCCCAAGTAGAAGGTAGCTTTGTGCGCTCTTCCGCACCCACGGGCTCTTCTCCGGGTCGTTCTCGAGGCGCTTCTCCGTTCCTTCCATCACCTCCAGCAAATCGTAGTGGTTAAAGATGTTCTCCATCTTGAAGGACCACTCAGCAAAGTTGTCACCATTGAACTTGTCAAGGCCAAACACTCAAGGCTCATCCCTAGAGGGTCCAAGGCTAGGTTGCACCGGAGCAACGGGTGGATCTTGGTGTTGACCTTGTGCTTGGGCGTCTTCTCTGCCTCCAGCACCTCTGCCACCCCCTTCCTCAGGTCTAGGCATGGTCGAGACGGCTCCAAGGGGCTCTGATACCACTTGTTATAATCACAATAGGCTCAGATGTGCCTAAAATGAGAGAAATTGTGCACAGTCAGAATTCCGTTAGACAGCTTCAAATGTTGATGCTGATCTGATGTGTGCCACAAATGGTGATCTGTAAATTTGATCTAGAGCGCGCTGCCGTCCCCTATCCCCAGCAAGTTGAATCATAAAATTACATGAAGATTTGACGACGCTATGGCGGTTTGACTGGCAGGAGGTACAGTAGCCACTATAGTCTTAGGAGTACAAACTTAGCAAGAAGAGTTCGAGAGGGAGATGGTTCCCAGCCTCTACATACCCCAAGAGCCGAGGTCCAAGTTGGTGGTACACCACCACAGAGTCCCCAACCATGAAGAGTCTCGAAACCAACCCTCCAAGGGGCTACACCAAGTGAAATGTAACACTACACGAAGTAACGTTACTATTTTCACTATTTAATATTTATCCGCGTCCCTTGGGCTTGAAATCTTGAGCTCTTGTTCTTGGATCTGCAAGATAAATTCTTCTTGAGTTGATGGGGGCTTGCTGCACACACCCGCGACACGATGGACACTTCACACTCGAGAAAATAGAAGAAACACATGCGACACACAAACGACGACTTGACATGCGAGTTGTAAAAACTCGCTAATGTCTTGACCGACACAAACCACATTGTGATACACCATTCAAACACAAACACAAGCACTAGATAGCAATGACATAGACTCACAATTCATTCCATGCCATGCATGCACACAGACAAACAAGGACGACAAGCCGAGTGCAAGCCATAGGGTTGCACCAACAGTATCAGGGTCTTTTCCAGCGCACCCTGATGCCTCAGGGTAGGAGATCCGCAACCCGGCTTTTTGAACGGGTAAAAAAAAAACACACACTTTTTCAATCAGAGTAAAAAAGGTTCCAATTCAGATTTTTAAGAGTACCGTAAAAAATACACTGGAAAATCAGGGAAAACAGGGCATTTCACCCAGCTATTTTGGGCCCTTTTAGGAACGCATGAAAAACAGGAATAGCAGAGGGGGGTCCCTCTTGAACCCCCTTGTAGAAAAAGCCGAGGCCCACGTAGCGTGCGACAATGTCACAGGGGGGCTTCACGAAGCACCAGGCTGTCAATATTTTTTCGCGTCGAGCCCACATTGGCTAGTACTTTTGCGCAACCAATAGCATTTGTGCAATCCATTTTTTGTCCCGACAGTTACAAAGTTCTGGGCACTGGGACGTTTCGTTTTTGTCGCCAGGTTTTGGGAATTTATTTTTTTGCACCCACTCAACTATCAAGAGGGACCCCCCTCTGCTATTTTGCCGTCAGTTTTGAACACCCACTCATGTTTTTTTGTGACTTCCACCATAGGGGGTTATATATGGGGGAATACAGTAGTTCCTTAGTACCCCTTGGTGTGCCTCACTTGCAGCCAACTCAAAATGCCGTCGGAGAGTGAGCCAATGCTCATGAACGAGCTCGCACTAGCATGGGAGCTCTTAGACATCTGGGCCTCCCTCCTGCCGTCTCTAGACGACACACCAGAGCTTTTTGCTTAACCCATGTCGTCTTCAGGGTGTGCAATCTTTCCTTCCCCAGCAGACTCCCACTCTTCCTCTTTGTCGGGGCAGTGCTTCTCAATGAGGGCACTGAGGCGGTACGCCACATCCTTCATGTTGGGGCGACGTGCGCGTGTCGCCTGATGCAGTCCAGCGCCAGGTCCGCCAAGTCCACCACGGCCTCCTCCCTGGACTGGCAACTTGCTGTCCTTGAGCTCGTCCAGCACATACGCATCCACCATGCTCATCGCCTACAGCGCGGCCACTCACGGCAACACAATTTGCAAGACACGCAGAGCAATAGAGAGCATGGAAGTGGAAGCGCGCACCAAAGAGCAGGGACAGGGAGGAATGTGCATGGGCTGGACGTACCCATTCTCGGATATGCACTTCATGAAAGGAGGGTGTCGTCCCACTCAGCAGCTCCAGAAGAACGATGCCGAAGCTGTAAGACGCCGTGACAATGGGCACACAGATGAGGCATGGGGGGGCATATAGGGGGTATAGAAGGGGCATAGAGGGGGCATATTCATGGCTGCTACCATAGCCGGGGCTAACTCCACACCATTATTCATTCAGAGAGGCTTACCTCATATGGAAAGTGGCTATTGCTACCAGCTGATATGGTCTTTTTTCCTGTGATGACGGCTGAAGATGCCAATGAGTACAAAATATACAAGCGTACGAAAACCACAGATGGGGATCATAGAGAACATCGCATTTGCAGATTCTCGGGAGGTGTAAGAGAACGCAAATGGCTGACCTGAAGACATCACTTTTGGCAGTTATGATTTTGGTGCGGTTGTAGTCAGGGTCCACATAGCCGGGCGTGCCCACCACCCTGGTGGCGTCGGACACGCTGTGTGTGAGGCACTTGAGCAACCCGGAGTCAGCCACCTTGTCATGCATGTCGGCAGTCACAAGGACGTTGGCGGGCTTGATGTCGCGGTGCAGGATGGGCGTGTCAAACTCATGCAGGTACGCCAGCCCCTCCGCTGCTCCCTGCGCCAGACGCAGCCGCTGCCACAGTGAGAGAGGTCCTGCAGGAGAGAAAACACACACGGAAAGGTAGCAGTGTGCTGCAATGAGTAGCAGATACAGAACGTTAGCAAACTTGAGACACGGTGTGACTCTTTCTCAGTCTTGTAAATGTGATAGTGCAGGTCCCTGTTGCCCACAAACTCCTACACCAGGATCTGCTCTTACTTGCCCGTCTCCATGTTCTGATCCAGACAGAAGCCCAGCAGGCGCACCAGATGGGCATGGTTGAGCGACGCCATGGCGCGCACCTGCAGAGGGGACGAGGAAGGTGTAACGGAGGTAGGTGATGAATAGTTGCAACATCAAAACATACTTCCACTGTAGCTGCAACAAAGAGGAGCGAGACAGGAGACTGATTGGCAGGCCTGTGTGGCAGGACTTGAAAGAGCAAGGAATGCAGTGAACAAAACTCACGGTTTGGAAAGTAGGCAGGGGCGTACCTCCGTTTGAAATTCGTTGGTCATGACAGTGGAGCGCTCCACCGCCCACAACTGGCCCTGGGGTGATTGCCCTTGTACACAATGCCGAAGCTGCCCTTGCCAAGCACATTGGCAGGCACCCAGTGGCCTTCACTATCTGGTGCAGGGAGAACTGCTCACACATCCAAACCTGCCCACTTCTCTGCGCACACACCACGAGCAACAAGGGCAGGAGCGAGTGTGGCAAAGGAAACTATGTGAGATGAGTAGACAGAACCGGGGCGCAGGAACGGATGCAGAATGGGCGCAGCAGAGAGGCATGGGTGGAGGCTAGGAACGACGTGTAGGAATGGGAGTGACAACATGCGGGTAGGGTGGGGGGTCTCACTTTGTGTGTGGGGCCACAGCAGCCATGCGAGCACAGCAGTGAGCAACGTGAAGCCAGCAAAGCACCCCGCAGCGATGCCCACTATGACAGCCGTGGACAGAGGGGCGACTGCCAAGTGAGGGGCAGAGGGGAGGATGGGGAAAGTGGGGAGTTTAGGCGACAAAGGAGTGATGAGGTGTGTGAGAGTCTGGGCGCATGGGAAGGTTGGCGACACCACTCTGAGCAGGGATGGGGGGCAGTGCATCCCATCCCACCATGGCTCACCAGTGGTGGTTGTGGAGTTGACAATGGCGCATGTGGACCCGTTGCCTGAGTCGAGAGCAGAGTACCCGGCATCATAGAGGCATGTGAAGTTGGACGGGGAGGCCGGTGCAGGAGGCACACACGCCCCACGCCCGTCACACGGGCCGTTGTCAGTGATGCTGCAGAACGCCTGGCAGGCTGCCGCACTGCGCTGGGTGGCATTATACGAGCACTTTGCAATGTGAGGGAGGGTTAGACAGTTGCCCACCAGACCCACCCTCGCCTCCTTGCCGGCCCCTGCCACCGAGTAATCTTGTACTCCTGAGATGGCACCATCGCTGCACTTGCCGCCAAACACTCCAAAGCTGGTGTCGCCCAGGCGCAGGTGGTTGACCTCGCTGATCGCAGTGGGGCACACCTGGCAGCCCGCGGCAAAGAGCACGGCATTGCCGTAGAAGTAGTTGTGAGCTAGGTTAATGAGGGCCTCGCCATCTGCCACCATGTTCTCAAAGTTGCGGTTGATGCGCCCATACAGGCTGTTTTTTCTCACGTCGCTGCAGCAAGTACAGCGGTGAGAGGGGGAGGGCAACAGTGGTTTGGTAGCACTATGCGGTAGTCCCTCCTCACAGCGAGCATCACACAGAATGTGGGCATTGATGCATGTGATAGTAAATGCTTACCTATCGCCCCATTTTGTCCAAACCACAGTGGTGGTGGGAGTAGGTGTATGCAAGGGGCAATGAATAATCGGCTTAGCTCACATTTGGTTGACACACTTGTCGAAGAGGCAGTCTGCCAGGGGGCCGTACAGGTGGTTGTTGCTCACCATGCTGCCACCCCATCCCAAACCATGCAGCACCATGAGTCACTCCCAAATGGAGTGGCATGGAAGAGAAAGTGGTAGCTACAAAGTGGACCAACAAAGTGGTAGCACGGCAATGCTGGTGCGGTAAGCCATGGTAGTGCCAGGAACACTCACAACTACCGGGGCCACACAGACGATGAGCAGCCTGTGCTTGCATCACCTCTTGTCCACGAGCAAGAGCCCAGCAACAAGTGCACTACTTGCAGGGTTGTTGTTCATGTCAGCACTTGCACGACTGAACATTTTCGAGCCTAGCATTCATACAAGTACACAACAGCCATGGCCTCTCACATGCGCCGCAGCCACTCACATGGGCCACAGCCACTCACATGCACCGCAGCCACTCACATGCGCCACAGCCACTCACATACGCCACAGCCAGGGAAGCGAGCAAATGGCAAGTGGCTGAGGGCCCTCGATGCCGTTGTTGTCCAGCCAGCTGCGGGGAGGCAAACGCAAGGGCAGAAGAAGCAGCACGGCGCAGAGGGGCACAGCACAAGTGGGTGCGACGGATAGGCTGAGATGATGGGAAGGTGCACTTTTAGAGGAGAGAGATAAGGGCAGGAAGCCATAGCAAAGTTGGGAATGGTTTGCACAACACGTTCATCAGGGTCACCTGTGTGAGTCCCTCACATCTGTTGAAGCTTGTCTCGACTGATGGCAGCTGGCAGACTGCCACTCAGATGGTTGTTGGACAGGTAGCTGCAGAGGGTCAAGGCAGGGAGGCATTGCAGCAAGCACCGGCATACAGGAGCGCAGCGAGGGGCACGAGCACCAAGGGACGAGCACGCAAAAGCATGCGTGGCACAGAGGGCCATATATGTATGCACAAGCAGACTGGTGACGGAGGCGAGAGGCTCACAGGAAGACGAGATTGGTCATGTTGAAGATGGCAGGTGGGATGCAGCCAATGAGGTGGTTGTCGTTCAGCACGCTGCACGCCATGGGAAGGGCTGCATGACAAACTGGCTGTCACGTGCCGCACAAGCATTAGCAACTTCTCCCAAACCATCCCATAAAAAATATAACAATCAGGCACGACATGTAGGTGTGGGTGGCAGCATGGGTTGAGGGCTATGAGACGAGGGGGCATGTTGCATTCTAGTAGGACAACGGGAAGGCTCACACGACATCGTGAGTGGCGAGGGTGGAGATGGAGTCAAGAATGGACCCGGTGAAGTTGTTGCTGCCGAGATCCCTGCCGCACACCACAAGCAAGGCAACAAGACACCCGGGAGAGTTGAGAGAAGCCCATGTACTACTCCCATGCATGCAGCGCATGACATGCCTCTGGATGCCACGATGGTGAGCGGATAGGAAACAAGGCTTATCAAGAGATAGCCAGAGAGAGACAGACACGTTGAACGTGGGGGTGGCAAGGGTGCGATTGATGATGGAGAGACAAAGAGAAAGAGGGAGAAGAGGGGTAGAGATGGAGACCTGTTGTTCCTGTGGAGGCACCGTCCCGTACTGCAGCATGCCCAACCATCATGGCGTGGCAGCCAAGAGCTGCACAGGATGGCCTTGGAGGCCAACCCGCGCCCACATCCACCTTACCTTCGCTATGCTCAGGGTGGCTCTGGAGGTGATGCGGTAACGGTGCTGCACCCTTGTGCAAAACCGACACCCCGTAGCAGGCAGGCTCCTGGGGTTGGCCGCATGCAAGGTAGCACGGCACAAGGACGGACCACCTGCCGCCCGGTGCACCATTCCAGTCCCTCAACAAGTGCGCCCACCTGGCCACCCACCGCTGCTTCACTCCCGGACCCTTGTTGGCCGAGGTGACAAAGCCCTTCCATCCGGTAGCGCTGAAGTGCCATTCTGCAACGTGCACTATTGCTGCCCTCCATGCGAAGACCAGAGCTGCGATGCGGGCGGCGACACCACCGAGGCCCTCTGTGCCGGTTATTTTCTGCACCTAGAGACCCCCCCTCCCGCCCCCTTAGGGAGCCTGGGCAGTAGCCCGGGTGGGAGCAAGCTAGGGGCTCTACCTCAAGGGGGAGAGAGAGAGATGCTTACAGCCTTTTGAAGCTGCTGCTCCAGCGTGAGAAGTTTGGCAAAGGGCCAACAAGGCCATTTCCATGACAACAGAAAAGGCGTGCACACTCTAGGGACATGAAGGTTGAGCACAAGATGCTGGCAGGCCACACAGTGGTAGCACAAATGAGTGGAGCGAGGAGTCACTATCATTGTATTGATGATAAGAGAAGGCAGTACACACACCAAGCTAGTGATCGGACAACCCCCGTGGAACAAGTTCCAGCTTTACTTGGCTGTTCTCTCTTCCAACACGGACCCTTGGATAGCGGCTGGTTCGTACCAGGCACCCAAGAACCGAGGTGATCACATGGAGAAATCTGAGGGCTCTCAACTCCGTGTTTGCACAGCATTTTCTGGTTTCTACTTTTAACAGGCAGCACGTGGTGCGGGGGTAGTGCCTACGGTAAGGTCAGAGTGGAGACGGCTTTGAGAGTCAGTGGAAGGGCCCCAGAAAAGAAGTTGTTGGCCAATTTCCTACGATGCGAGGGACGGGAGGCAGAGAGAAAAAGTGGTTGCATGGATGTGGCAGCGGTGCACAGAGACAACAGTCATACATGCATGCACGATGGACCCGCCCTAACAGACACGAAGCTGAAAAACGACTCTGAAGGTGCAGAGTGAAGTGATGCTAGGAGGTGTGATTGATAACGAGTTTCCCACGTACAGACATGTTCCTTGAGTATTCAAGAGCTCAACTAGTTGACTGCAGTTTGCAAAAATCGTATCACGTGAAGCAGGTGAGGGGGAGCCATGGGGGTACCCACAGTGCGAAGAGCGTGGGCAGCTGGAAGAGGCCCGAAGGGATAGATCCGTGGAACTTGTTGTCATTCAGGTTACTGGGCAAGAGAGTCAAATGCGATCACAGAGTGGCGAATTAACTCATTTCATGGATCCCCAGGGAAGTCCAACGCGTGAACAGGCTTGCTCAGGGCTTGTCAGCTGCAAGCCTGCATCGTGCTTAGGGATTCCTCTTCTCTCGTTCCTCTGCCATCCCTTTCAACGCCCAGCTGCTGCACCCAAGAGTGCCCAGGCTGCACCCAAGAGCGCGCATGCTGCATCCAAGAGCGCGCATGCTGCACCCAAGAGCAGGCATGCTGCACCCAAGAGTGCCCAAGCTGCACCCAAGAGTGCGTGTGCTGCAGCTAAGAGCATGCATGGTGGGTGCGGCAGCAGTGGCACTGACATGTACACCAGGTTGGCCAGCGCTGTCAGCTGCTGCAGGATGGACCCAGAAAAGCTGTTGTTGCTCACATCCCTGCCATTGCCATTGCCACGCCATGTGAGACTTTGAAACGGTTGCCTTCATCGGTAGAATCCCATGAGAAGGGTACATAACAATTCGTGGAGCATGGAAATGGGTGCACCTGCGAGTTACCCCCCGTGCAACCCGCCTTTGTGTTGTTGGCTCCGAGTGCATGCCTTACAGTGAGCCAAGGCCCGTCATGTGCAGAAGAGGCGTGGGGAAGTTTCCTGTGAAGTGGTTGTTGGCGATGCTCCTGACGCAAGAACAAGGGACGCGTGGTGGGGAGAGGATGCCATGGGTGCACACATGCGGGGCAAGTGAAGATGCATACATGTACGCACACAAACGATCATGAGCTTTGAAATCATAACATGATCGAATCCACTACAACAAAACGATGCCGTAGAGTTAGGGGCGGTCACTTCCCAAGCTGTTGCTGCAGGCCAGGTTGGCAGGTACATGAAGAAGGTGTTGCTGCATGCGTGGGGCGAGGGGTGGGTGCAGCGCAGCTCACAGGGCTGAGAGGCCTTTGAGAGCTGTGAAGGGCACGGGAAGCACACCGGAGAAGTTGTTGGTGTGCAGGCTTCTGCTCAGCACACGGATTGGAAGGGGTGGCTCACAGATTGCAGGCCGCAAACAACAGGAGAAAGGCAACCAGGGGGTGCAGCAAGGTGGGGCCAATGGGGGAGGAAGATGAGGTGAACAAGAGCGAGGCGCTCACATGTCTGTGAGCCATGTCATCCGTGCCACTCACATGTCTGTGTGCCATGTCATCCGTGCCACTCACATGTCTGTGAGCCATGTCATCCGTGCCACTCACATGTCTGTGAGCCATGTCATTCGTGCCACTCACATGTCTGTGAGCCATGTCATCCGTGCCACTCACATGTCTGTGAGCCATGTCATTCGTGCCACTCACATGTCTGTGAGCCATGTCATCCGTGCCACTCAC